CTTGAAGAAGAACACCAAATGACTCCCAAAATGAATGTATTCTATATGTTTAATAAATAAATGTTTTTTGGAAAATATCAAAAGTCTATATTGCAAAGAACTCTAGTTATATCCACGACGCCACTGACTTAGTAAGTCTACTTTTCTATCAAAAGACAATGGTTAGCGAATGGTTAGTGTTAATAATTTGAGAATATTAATTTTTGATTAGTTCTTGCTTCTAAGAATCAAGAATTTGATTTGTTCTATTTAATAACATTTTCATCTAAGTTTTTTTTAAACTTCTTTTGTCTAAAATTTTAAATGGAAATGAGTACAAATTATAATGAAAACAGAACTACAAAAAATTAATTTGCAAGTTTTTATGGAGTAAATTTAATATTAAGATAACTTCTAGAAAAGTAACCATTATGAAGAACTAATAGTTTTAATTTTAGAATAACAAAAATTTACACATAAAAGCAAATTCTTTAATAAAAAAAAATGATGCTGTATTTTCTGTAAATGACTTCCAAAAACGATTTACAAAATTGAAAGCATCTGAAATAAATACCATTCAAGGGTTCTTTATTTAATTTTTGCAGAAAATTTTCTTAGAATATGAAATTGTACATGAAAAATTTTTAATTGTTTTTTATAATTAGTAATAAACTCGCACGTGCAAGAATTTGGAAGCAATTTTTGGTGATATTGAAAAAAAATTATATTTGTATCTTCTAGATAAAGTATAAGTAAATCTAAAATACAAAGGAGAATTAAGACTGGTATGAACATTGGATTTCTTGTAAAATTCTAAGTAAAGCTTCATGTTCTTAATTGCGAACAAGGTAACCAATGGTACGTGACTTATCTTATGTTTTCATTAAAAGTTCTAAAATAGTATGAGGAACTTAAAACACCATAATTTTATGTTTTACGGATATGAAGAATTCAACAGATTAATACAATAATAGATGAATATTTATTAAGATTTTGGAATTTTCCTTCCATGTATTACAAACACTTTAACAAATTTATTATGCTTTTTATTAGTTGAATAGTTGATTAGTGTAAAAATGTATTTCAATTTTATTCTAGAGTAATTAAAAAGAATGTATTTTACAAGCAAGCAAAAATATAACTCATAAAAACGGAGAATGGTGTTGTCATAAGTAACTAAAATCTATGTGACAGAATGATGCCAGCTTTGCTTATAATAGTATTTTCAACAATTAGAACTAGATATGGAATACTTTAATAGATCAATATAATAACACATTCAAATATAAGAGAATATTAGCTTAAGAGATTTTTAGATTAATAAGCTAATTGATTCATAAATTCCTAGATTAATACTAAATTTGTACTAAATTAATAGACTTACAGATTTTAAAATTAATAGATAATTAGATTTATAGATTAATTGTTGAAATGATTGTTTGATTAATTTTTAATAATATTGTATCATAGATAATATTTGTATTATACGTAAATCGATTCGTCGATTATTAGACTCGATGATTAACAGATTAATCGATTAACATATTAACAAATTTAATTTTACATTTTAGTAAAATGAGATTATTAATAAATTGAATGTTAACTAAATGTTTTTTAAATACGTTGGTGAGCGGATTGAAAACTATTAATTTATTAAAGAGAGTATTTAGTAATAAAATATATCTAACTAGATAATTTAATGACAATATAATTTTTATTTATACTTTTTTATGTTGCCCTGATAATAGTTTTAAATTAACTAAAAAATAAATTAAACAAAACAATTTTTTCACTGACAGTAAGCGCATTACAAAAGGTAAAATAAGTATTATCACCAAATAAGCTCCTGTTAGAGATAATAAGTGAATCATTTTGATCACTTGGTTCAGTCTATTATTCGATACTTATCTGTTTGTGATTACAACCCCAAATGTGTGATGCGCGGCTCATAAGATTCACTATTAGACCTCACACAATCTGACACATTTTATATAAGTATGCATATAAATAAGGAGAAATGCTCACCGACAAGCACGAAGAAATTACACAAATACAGTAATGTTTGATTAATTTTTAGTTTAAGTGATGCAAGAATAATGCATAGTATTATTATACTCTCTGAACCACTTCGTTAAATGGCATACTAATTGCAGGAGCAACTAATTTACTTGATTTCAACATGGTATTTTCATTTGAGTTTTTAATCTATATGTAAGCACAAGAATGTATCTTGATCCCCGAGTGAAATAACTTATAATATTTACTATAAACTATTACTTATAACTTGCAAGTAATATTCTACATCCTGTAACTGGTTTCTAGTTAATGTAAATAATATTCAAATATACCAAAGGAATCAATGAATGATTGGCTTGACGCAAGAATTGCGAATATTGTAATAGTAACGTTGTTGTTTTTAATAGTATCTGATGCATATATTAATTTTGTGTGATAAATTTTAATAAGTCATGGGAATTGCCTAACCAATTCAAAAATAAAGTCTTCTGTATTAAAAGTAAGATTTTAGTAAGAGATAGTATGAAGCGGGTGAAATTTCTTTCTATTTCTATGATAACCCAAAGGTCATCTTTATCAACTGGTTAAGCTATATCGAGAAAAACACTTCAATAGTACTGCTTTACTTTAAGAGAGAGCTGTGAGTACAGTATTACATACTCAATAATACTGTTCAATTGTTCCATGAATTTATGAAAACAAGAATGCTGAGGCCTGAATATTTTATAATGTATCAAATTTCAGTAAAAAAGGGTGAATCATTTACTTTTTAAGTATATTTGTATATTTATGTAAATTTATATATTAAATAGTAAACTAGTAAATAGTAAGCTGGCTTCAGGATTTTTATTATTTTTTGAAAAGAAAATGCTATAAAAACCAAATAATTTTATATAACAAATTAATGGCACTTTATTTAATTTTGAATAAATAAAGGTTACTCATTTTTCAAGATTGGATAAATTATTTTGAAGAAGTGATTATCATGTTTTCTTATTTTGTACTAGATTGTTAGGTTTATATACTAATATTTTCTCCAAATATTATATTTTTTAATGAGATTTCATTTCGGAGGAAATTTTAGTTTTTTTTAATAATAATTTAAGTTAATATTATTATCATTTATAATATATAAATAATTATAATCTAAACCAAAAGTAAAAACTAAAAGCTTTCAATGTATATTTTAAAAGAAAAATTATTTTAATAGTTTATCAACAATTTTAATTTCAACATTACCTACTTTATGATTCGTTTCAAAGTTGTGAGATAATAAATGCTGTAATAAATTTAATAGTGATACATATGGGTCATTCTTTTACAAACGGAACGGCTTTTAACCCCAGATTCGACAAAAATTTTTTTCTGAGCTTATTTTTTTAAATAAAAATATTGGTGTCTCGGAAAAAATTTTTTATCCTACGAGATTTGGACCTATTGGGTTTTGAGAATTTATTTTTTAGACCAATTTTTAAATAACTTTATCTTAGGCTCTATAAATGACACAGATATAAATATTTTTGCATGGTTAAATTTTTATAAATAATATAAATCCGTAAATTTCTTCATATTTGTATATACATGTATTGCAATACAAAATTTATTGAATAACCCGTTATTAATTTCGTTTATATTTCATTTTTCAATTAATTATATCAAATAATTCTAACACTGCATATAAGGTAGTAATACAATATTTAAAATAAACATTTAATAATAATAATTATTTAATAATAATAATATTTAAAAATATATATTTAAAATTTGCACCAATGAATTATAAATTTTTTGAATTGATTTTAATGATTTTTTAATATAAATTAATGCTTTGAATGTAAACGAATATATAAATAATAAAATAATTATAATATAAATAATTAAATTTGTATTATAGAATATTATATATTACATAATATTATATATGATATATATATAAATATTATACCTAATTTTACTCCATGATTTAATTTGTTTGGAGAAATGTAGTTATAAAAGTAACGTGAATACTTATATTTTTTTATCAGATAAACATATAAATTATTATGCATTATTATACACTAAAGATTATACACCGAAATATTTGTAATTAAAATGATTTTATATAAAAATTAAATATAACTAAATATTTAACACAGTTTAAAAAAGTATAATTTTTTCCTTTATTCAAAAGTACATTATTATAAATTTATGTGTTAAATAAACGACCTAAGCCCAGTAATAAATATAAAAACTAATTGAATATTGGTCGTAATAACAATTTTTTATAAACATATAAACTTAATCACTCAATATATTATTATTAAAATGCGTCAACTAATAAAATTTAAAATAATTTCAATAAAATAATTGCGCCAATAAATTAAAAAAATTGTATAAATTTGTAAAGGAAAATCCCTTAACAATCTGCAGCTCAGACAGTCTGTGCTGTGCAAAATAAAAGTTTTTGGCGAGTTTCGCTTTTTAAAAAAAATAAACAAAACTGAGCACATCTGAGTGCTAAGCGACTTCAAAAACATAACAAACAGTTGCGGGGTAAATGAGCGTAAAGCTAGCAAAATCTAAAGAGAGCTTCAGTCGCATCTTTATCTTGAGCAAGCAGCGCAGTAGACGTAAAGCAAGCAGAACCGGCAATATTTGCTAAAAGCGCCTGAACAATAGCAAAGCCAAGTTTACACACATTTTTGCTGGCGTTGGCGTTGCGCAGTTACTGCGCTGTTTTCACCACAGCAAAACACTTGTTTGGTCTTTTGTTTGTTATATGGCCAAGCAAGCACTGAGCTTCTTGAACGATGATGTCTTGTACCACGGCTTCTTTTAGATTTTTGCTTGATGAAGTTTTTGTTGTAATTGGAACTTGATAAGTGTGGTGAAGACGTTGCTTGGTAAGCAACGTAAGCAGCGTAAGCTACATCGCAGCTTCAGTTTATGTGCTGCTGTAGCTTCACCCACCAAATATTACGGCATATAAAAGGCCGATCTTAGCAAAAATTCACAATCAGATTGAAGTTACTCGTTCGTGCGATCGTTTTGTTTGTTTGAGGTAATCAAAGAAAATTCAATTAAATAAAAATAATATAAAAAATATTGAATGAAATTTTGGTGAAATAATATTTAAAAATATTTAAGAAAATCAAATTTTTAGAAATTTAAATTTTAAGTGTAATAAAAAATAAAAATAACTTAAGTGTGTTTTAGTGACTAAAAATTATATAGTAAACAATAAATTAAAAATTAAATTTGAAAAAAGAAAAAAATACTATAAAATTTTAGTGAACATTGCAAAAAGGATTTATGACAAGGATTATAATTATTTTTTTTTTTTGCTGAATTTATGAGTAAAATTTACACACTTTATTGAAAGTAAAAGTACTTAGAACTGGAAAGAAAAAAATTATGCAATTTTAATTAATTGATTTTATTGAATAATCGCACAAAAGCAGAAAAACGTGAACAATTGTCAGATTCACTTTCATTATTGCCTGAGCTATTGAAAATAAATTAATCGAAATTAATAACGTCATTTGTGTGTGTTACGCCCCAAAGTTTAAATGTGCAACTCGTCAGAGTCTGGAACCGCCGCTGCAATTGTTGCGGTTTAATTAAATTTATCTGTGCGCTTTTGTTTGGATTGAACGCTCGTTGAATTGTGCTGGATTTGATAAATTGATAGTTAGTTTGATTGATGGTAATGTGTGTGCCTGAAGAATAGTGCTTTTGTATATTTGATATTTTCGAATTTGGATTTCTCGAACCCGAACTCCTATTCCAATGTGCAATTTCAATTTTATGGACTTTTGCAATCCGGCACTTTTGTTTATATACAAATTTATATAAATATATATATTTATATGGAAAAAAACCATTATTAATGAATATTTAATATTGAACATGAATGAGCATAGCGCGTTGTATTCAATTTATTGGAGAATTGTCATATTAAATAAATAAATCACTGATCTCAACATAAATTATAAATAGAGTATTATTAGAATTGAAAGGAAACTAATAGTAACTAATAAGAATTTTATTCAAAATTTTAATAGAAAAATGCTACATTACTAAAGCCAGTCAACTACAACGTTTTATTTTTATAATTATAAAAGTTAAAATTTTTAAATTTATAAAAATTAAAATTTTTAATTTAGTATGATATAAATCTAGTCAACTGCAATAATAGAAATAGAAGTAATAAAAACTTCTTTTTTTTAAATATTTAAATTTTAAATTTAGACAAAATTCTTTTCCAATCATATTTTTTAGGCATATAACTTAGATCAGAAGATTATTGCAGTTACTATTTTCTATTAAATGTATCAAAATATAATATTAAATTTATATACAAATTTAAAATTAAGCAATTCATTTGTATATAATACTATATAATAAATATAAAATAAAAAAATAAATCAATTAAAATAAAAAAAAAATAAATAATATAAAATAAAAAAATAAAATAATATAACAAAATATTAAAATTCAAATTATATGAAAAAATGAAATGAAATCAAATGAAATAAAGTAAAATAAATTAAAATAAAACCAAATTTAAATAAATAAATTAAATTTAAATAACATAGATAAATAAAAAAAAATTAATTTAAATAGAATAAATTGAAATAAATAAAATAGATTTAAATAAAATAAACTGATATAAATAAAATAAATTAAAATAAAGTGACACAATCAAATAGGAGCTTTAAAATTTTGTTTTATAAAATAATAAAGCCAATGCAATTATGCCTTTATTTTCTGAAATAAAGAATTTCCAATTATATGAATAATTTTTTTAATTGTTTTTTTATATGTATAATTAAGGATTACCATTTTTTGGTATTGAATAAAAATTGAAGTTATTTTTTATATATTTTTATAGGCTCAAAATAAAAACATTTTAGAGTACTAAAAAAATTAATATAAAACAAAAAATTTAATTCCTTTTAAATTTAGTATTAGTTAAAATTGTTTAAATTTAAATTTATGATGATTTGTTTGATTACAAATATTTAAATCCGAAAAAAGCAATATTAAATAATACACAATAAAATTAAATCTAAAAAAAAAATTTAAATAAACGAAATAAAATAAAATTAAATAAAATAAAAATAAGTTAAAATAACTAGAGAATAAATTTAAAAGTTCCTTTCATAAAATAATTCAATTGACTTTATTTTCTGAATTGAAAATTTTGTAATAAATTTTAAATAAATTCATTTTTAATAAAAATCGTTCTTCGAAATACCTTTAATTTTTTTTTTTGAACTGTTTTTTATTTTAATAACAGAAATTAATTTTTATTTATTTTTAGGGGTTCAGAAAAAATCATTCTGATAAACTAAAAATAATTGATTATAAATCAACAATCCAATTCCTTTTTCTAATAATAATTTTTATTTAATAATTAATAAAAATTAATAAAAATAGATATTAGTTTTGAATCAAGCGCAATAATACTTCTTTTTTATTTTGTAGACACAAAATAAAATTATTACTGATAAAATATTCTTTTATAGAACTTCATACTCTTAGTAGGAAATTTGTCTTCAAAGCATAAATTCCTTCAGTAAGACACTGTATCTATCTCTGAAATATATAGACTAAACTTGGAACTAGCAGCTTTATTAAAAGAAGTAAATGGTTTCTTCTAGCTTCTTTAAAACTACTTTAAAAAGACACCTACGATCTGATACTTTTGCATAATACAAGCTTAAACTGCTCGAAAGGTTGAAACAATTTTTAATTATTAATTATATATAATTATTAATTATATATAGTAGAATATTCTGAATATTATATGTATTTATGTAAGTAATTAATTAAATTCATTATATTACACTTATATTACAGTTAGATCACAATATAAGTACCTATTAATTATATTAGTAAATATCATTCTAATCAAATTTATTGTTTGTTAATTACTCTTTATTCGAAATAAATTTCTCTTCATAGGATAGGAAATTTAATATTTCATATAGCAGTTATCAGAGTTGAGACTCACAATAACAGTTATAAATTTACTTTTAATTAGTTTTAAAAATTATTTTATCTTTATGATGAAATATATATAGTTTCATTAAAACTAAAAAGTTGTGTATTATTTAACTTTGACTAATTGGATATTTCAAAAATACATAAATAAAATTTGGTTATTAATACTTAATGTTATTATAATAAAATGTTATAATAATATTGTTAAGTTAAATTAAATGTAGTAGTCAATTAATGTTATGAATAACAACAATAAATAATTATTAATACAAGACTTCCTTAAATTCATACTTCATAAATTATAGTATTTTTATTATATATAGCATAATATTAATTATATATTATATACTATTAATAATTTGATATATGTTATACATAAATTTATTTTATATATAAATATATGTCACATGTTATGTGTGATATACTTTATAGTTCATATTATACACTATTATACATGTATTATATATAAATATTATAATAAGAAGTGTTCAATTAATTTTGTTTTTAATAAGAATATATTCATATTTTTTAATCAAAGAACTATTTTTTTGGTTAAAACTTTATAAGCCTAATTTATGAGACATCTATGGGTTCTTACCTTGCTAATAACAAATTTTATTTGATCAGTATGTTATAGTTAGTTTCAGTTATATTACTTATTTGTAACTTATATTATACATTGATGTCATAGACGAGCATTTTTTAATATCGTCATCGCAATTATCAATTAGATAATTTTTGTTTGAATGAGTTAGAATGAGTCTTCATTGCTTTATATGAATCTAACAACTCTTTAAGAGTTTACGTTTAAGTCCTAGAAATGTTCTCATAATATTTTGAGGTTAAATATTTTAATAGTAATTTTAATCTACATAGTCTGAATAAATTTATTACTCTATCTGCCATATTAATATATATAAAATATATTGTTATGGTAAAAAATTTATTTTCAAATTTTTCTAAATAACTTATTATTGCCTTTATTGATTTTTATTACTTAAATCAATTGATTTTTCAGTCAAAAAAGTAGAATCGTTTAATTTTATTGTTGAAATTAATTTTGCGAAATTCCAAAAAATTAGCCAAGCAAATGCAAACAATACTGAAAAATAAAAAATAAAAAAATTGAAGAAAAAATAAAAAATATTAACATAAACGGAACACTTCTACAGTTTTGAATGTGCTTACAAATTGTTTTATTTATTTAATCTTATTTATTTTTATTTTTGTTTTATTTTTTTCAAATGAAATTAATGCAAATTAATACATTGAATTATAATGTGTTATTTAATTAACAATATTAGGCCAAACGAAAAAGTTTGTTGCTTAAGTTTTTTGAGTTTGCAAAAAAGCTCATATATTAATGAGTACATAAAACGTTCGACTGAATATATTATCAAAGTATATAGAATGTTTAAACAAAAATTGCATTATCAAAACAAAACAAATTGGTTAGGTTATTGGGAATTTCCAATTTGTTGTATAAAAACAAAAGAAGAAATTTTTAGAAAACTCTTAAATGTTATGGGCCAATTGCCAAACCCTTTTTTTTGATCATTTTGATTAAAGAGATACGAAATATTTGCATACAAATTTTTTTTTGTTCGATAAATTTGTATGCTCATTAATAAGAACTTCAAAGCAGAAAAAACATGTAGTGGAATAAAAATTATAATTATAAATTATTAAAAACATATTGGATAGAAATAGAAAGTTTAAACTTGATTGAAACCAGATTTTTGTAAAAAATTATAATAATTAAAAAAGAATTTTAATAATAATAAATTTGTTATTCTTTTTCTCTTTGTTACTAATTTATGCAAATTACCTAAAGGCAAAGAAAGAGCGCGTAGAAGTCTGCATAGCAGAAACCTCTTCTCATCTTCGATACTTCTATGTACGAAATTTGTTTGTATCCGTCTATGAATGATCCATGTGTGTTGTTGTTGTACAATTTTTACTGATTCGACTTCAAGTAGTCACTATTTTTAGCGTTGAGTTAACGCATCTCATAGATTGATCACTGTAGCTGGCGTAACCAGCCGTTTAGAT